CCATTTGTAGGTGGTGAAATAAGAGGCAACAGAGAAAATAATTTATCTTCAAACTGTCAAATAAAAAATAAATGACATAATTTATTCAATAATTCAGAATGCTTTCTAACTAAGTATTTTAAAAAAAGCTAAATTAACAAAAAGCCCATTCCCTCAACTACCATAATCCAGTCTTTCCACCCCCTTCAGCCTCCTACACAATTTGAGTGTGACAGCAGAAAAGTAGAATAGCAGGAATGTATTCTTTTGTCCTTTGTATTTTTCCTACAGAGTAGCACAATCAGTAACTATATATACACACAGAGGGGAGAAAAATATTATTTTTTTGACATATACACAATAGATTATTTTTTATTATAAAAGCAAATTCTAATCTAAAGACAACGAGCACAATGGTCTAATGATGGGACGCAAGTCTTTAAAACTTCAAATTTATTTAACAAGCATTTAAGTTATCCAATGGTAACTCCAGATTGTTACAATTAATATAAAACCATTAATAACAACATTCACTGGACATACAACTGCCAGGCAAGCATGGTTCTAAGTGCTTTGTGTGTATTAACTTATTTAATCCTCTACAATGCTGTAAGGTGGGCTACTATTATTACTCTCACTTACTTGAGGCACAGAGTTAAAGAACTTGCTCAAGGTCAAACCTGGTGAGCAATGGGGCCAGGACTTCAACCAGACAGCCCGGCTTCAGTGTCCAGGCCCTTCACCAACACACCACACTGCCTCTTCCAGTCCCTACAGCTTTTTAAACCGGCGAAATAGGATCCAACTGAGTATAATGCTCAACTTTTAAGGGTAGCACAGATCCCTTTTTTTGGATTTACTGGTAATAAATAGTTTTTCTTGGGTAACCTGTAGCCTATGAAAGTTCCTGTTTTACTTCAACTCCCTCAAATTCTCCTATTAAAAGTTATTAATTGTAGATCTGGCCTATGTATCCTCTAAAAAGGGTGGGTTAAGGCATCAGTTTGACATTCTTTTACCACTTCAAACAATTATTTTGAAGCCCTCAATCTTTAATGATACACTGATGCCCCACCATAATAGAACTCTTTATGACACAGTTATTTCATATAACACAAGTCTTGTTTTTACTCGTAATAAGGGGTTACTACATATACCCAACGGGCCTCCTTTTAATACACTTTCACAGCATGGATCCCAATGATGGCATTATAATCACACTGTATTGTAAAATCCGGAATTTAATAATAGAATACCTTATATTTGTAAAGCACTCTACACGTTACAAAGCACCTTCTTACACATTATCTCACTTGATCCCCACAACATCCCTGTAAGAAGAGGCAGGGATTATAATCTCCATTTTGCAGATGAGGAAACAAAGTGAGGTTAAATATCTTGCTATAAGCAAAAAGGCTATCATGGCTCTTCTGTCCTATATTCCAGCATTTTCCCCACACTTTCACTACCTCTCCGCTCTATAGTATCTTCATTTTAGGCAACAACCTCATTTCTCCTTGTGACATTCTTGTTTATAAATGGAGAAACTGAAGCAAAAGAGTGTTAAGTTAAATGCTCAAGACTTAAGTGCTGGTCAACAGCAGAGGCAGGAACAGAAACTCAACTCATAGTGCTCATTCAGCTCAAAAATTCTTAGAGGGCAAGGATTAATTCTTTTCACAAATACTTATCAAGTGCTTATTCTGGATTAGATACCATGTGAGGTGAAAGAGATATGGTTGCTGCCTGAAGAAGCCTTCCATCTAATGAGGGAGGAAGAGAATAGACAAGCAAGCAAACAATTTTAGATGGAGGTACCTTCCAAGGAAACAAGCAGGTACAGCAATAGGATGAGGCGGCAGAGGAACATATATTTACACAGGTGGTTTGGGAAGGCCTCTCTGAGTAGGTGACTTTTACAATGGAAATCTAAAGGCTGAAAAAGAGGCAGCCCTGATAAGAGTCAGAAGACAATTCTACTGAGCGAATAGTTGTTTAAAAAACAATCTGTAATTAGTCCATTTCACATCTGGGGTATTGAATAAGAGCTTTTGGACAATGTCCTCCAATCCTTACCTTCCTATTGTTTCCAGGTTGAAAAGGGCTCCATTTCTGTAGCCAAAGCCCCACATTTTTTGGTTTCTTTTTGTCTTTTAAAGACAGGGTCTCACTCTGTCACCAGGATGTAGTGCAGTCATGTGACCTTGGCTTACTGCAACTTCTGCCTCCCGGGCTCAAGCAATCCTCCCACCTCAGCCTCCTGAGTAGCTGGGACTACAGACATGAGCCACCATACCCAGCTAATTTTTGTGTTTTTTTTTTTTTTTTGGTAGTGACAGGGTTTCACCATGTTGCCCAGGTTGGTCTCATATTCCTGGGCTCAAGCCATCTGCCCACCTTGGCCTCCCAAAGTGCTGAGATTACAGGCGTGAGCCACTGAGCCTGGACAAAAGCCCCACATTTTAAAGACACACTCATTGAGACCTGGAAGAGTGGTCTTTCTGTAACACTGCCCAATTTTACGGTGTAAGGAATTGGACTACAGTATCAACAAAGACTTCAATTCTCAGAATCCTCCCTGCCACCTTCTGAAATCTGAATCCCTAACTTTTCCCTACCTTAAAACTAATTGTTAAGCCAGTAACTTACATTTAGGACCCTCAAACTCATTCGCCTCATCTACCTTTACAAAGCACATGTTTATGCTGTGTGAACAATGCCAGAATGCCACAACTGGACTGCGTTTATGAAGGGAGTTCTTCATTAGCTTTTATAAACCCAGACACCGGTCAAGGATGCTAAATGTATCCAAATGTATCCAGATGATGAGGTACCAATTCAAATTTATTTAGATTAAGAGCAGAGTTGTTTCTCTGGTAGAGGGAGCCTATGCCATTCAAATTCCTGGAATTACCCTTGGCACCTCCTTTCCCCTCCTCTGCTCCTTTCTAAAGCAATCTGATGGTATGCGGACAATCAGGTCAGTTTCAAGCATGTTAGATTGTGCCTGTAATTTAGGCAAATTGCTTTGAAAAGCTACCATTAGTTTCAGCAGAAAGGAAGTATTATCTAGTTCAACTTTTGAGAAGCAGCAGTCAAGAGGTACTTTCATACAAAAACTCAAGCATAATTGAATCTTAGAGTGACCAGGATTTATTGCGAACTGCAAATAGGAAAACCGATGATTGAAACAACAGTTTTACCTGTGAAAAGTATGAATAATTCAGACATTTCATAACAGTCAAAAAAAAAAATTAAACAGATTTGCTTTCCAACCCTTATCAATGACTGGTCCAGTCCTGCTGAGCCTTAAAAGGTAAAACATGCTTTCATGCAACGATTTATCAACATCAACTATGTGCAAGGCTGCATAAGATAGAAGCTATACAAGGCAGAGTGCCTACCCTTAAGGAGTTTACAATCTAATATATCTGTCAGGTTATAAATCGTTAGTCCAAGACCTCTATCACTTATTATCGAGTGTCACCTGGAACACACAGGTGAAAATAAACCTCTGCTTGAAGTGAAGGGAATGACAAATAGTTTCTGAAGTCCATGCTAAATCCTCTATTATTTTTCTTCAAACTTGCTAATATCTGGAAAAGAGCTTGCTTGATAACATATTGGTAACCAATTACAGCCAGCATATTAGCAAGAAACCAGCTTCTTTTATTTTGGTCTTTGCAAAATTTGGTCATTTGCGGATACCTAGGCTGTCTTTGGTTTCTGTTCAAATAAAATTTCACTTAAAACTGTATATTGTAATTACAGAAACGTAAGAAAAGAAATGCAGTTAAAAAATAGGTACGGTGAACTTGGGATGTTCAGTCTCAACAAATGCGTACCCATTGCATTCTTACACATTTATAAAAGGTTGAACATTTGTTCTGGACGGGAAAAAAAACAGCATTTTAACCTCACCTCTCTTCACCCCTGACAGTTGCCTAGAAACCAGTCTTGCCCTACCTGTGTTGCAGGTGTACCTCAAGTCACCAACACATCTCTTTTAAAGCTACAGCCTCCATTCTGACTTAAGTTTATGACTAACAATCTATTCATATTTTTATCAGGTAAGAGACTGGTTTCATTCAAGCAATGACGAAATCCTAATAAAGACGTAGCAAGCACCAATACAGCACCATTCACGGTTAAGGAGTCATCTAATTTGTACAGGGCTATGATGTACATATAAATACACAAATTCCCAATAAGCATTCGCATCTTGAACACATTAATTCTGCAGTCCCATTCCATTCAAAGCGGTACTTAGGACATTCAGAGCAAAGAATCACGTTTCTAGGAGAGAAGGAAGAGTTCAGAACAGCTTAGACGAATTTTTAAATACTGATTTCGGCATTACCATCGTCGCTGGGCGATGAGGCAGAGGGACCGGGGCTGACCGCCAAAGAGAACCGGTACCAACCACCGCAAGCAATCACCGAGCCACCCACCCCAGCTTTCAAGACAGGATTTACGGGCACACGGTGTCAACAAGACAACGCAACCCCGATTTTTACAACGAAAAAAAAAAAAAAATCAAACAAGCCCCTAGCGCCGAAGACGCTCATCCCCGCCGGGCCACCCCGCAAGCGCAGGCGGCGCGACTAGGACTCTCAAGCTCGCCGCTCCCGAAGCCCCGTCCGCTCCAGCGGTCCCGGTGTGCGGGGACGTGTCCCGGGCGCTCGGGTGCATGGCTCCGGCCAGCCGAGGGGCCGCGCGGCGACCACGGCCGGCGTGGAGAAGAAGGCGGGCGCCGGCACCTCGCGGCGTCCCCAGGCCCGGGCTGCGCCGCCGGGGAGGGTCCCGCCCTCCACACCTCAATGAGGAGAAGCCCGCGAGCGACCGGCCGGCCCCTCCCTCCGTCCCAGAGACTCCGCGTCGCGGCGACCCTCCCCGCGCCCTCCACGCCCCCGCCCTCGCGTCGGGGAGCCGCCTGGATCCCAGCACCCGGCGCGGGGCCCCCTGAGGGAACCGAGCGCTGCGTGGCCCTCCCCACCCCCTCAGTGCGCCAGGCCCCTTACCCCGGAGGAGCGGCGGCTGCCCCGCGGCGCCCTCCCGCGCATGTCCGTCCCGGCTGGCTCAGCGCCGCGGGCTCAGGGGCCCGGACATCGCGCAGGCGCCTCTCACTGGCTCGCGCTCCCGCTAGCGAACTGCCTCGCAATGGGCCGCCGTCGCCGCGGCTGCCGCCGCCGCCTCTATATATAGCATAGGCCCCTGGCCGTGAGGTCGCCGCGGCCGACCCCGCCTCCTCCCGCAGCCAATCAGGGCGCGCGCCGCTTAAAGGGGCGATGCCGCGGCCGAGGCGTTTGCGCGGGGCCCACCGTGGCGTAGCGCGGCGCTGCCGGGAGGCGGCTTTGTGTCCGGGGCGGCGTCTCCGGGTTGACCGCGGCCGCAGCTCCGCTCCTCTGCCCGAGCCGTGCGGCACTCCCGGGAACCTCTCAACGCCAAGCTTTCCTCAGAAGCCCGCGGCCACTTGGGCCTCGGCCGCCGTTCCTGCCCGAAGTGAGGGCACATCGAGCCTCGTGCGGGACTTCCCATAAATTCAGGGTCCGGGCAAGATTGTGCGTTTTTCCCTCTCCGCGGGCCGCCGCTGGCCGTGTGGGCCGAGGAAGCCCTGGAGGGGGAGAAGGGAGCCTCTCTAGACTGGGCCTGCGGCGTGGGAGGGACAGTGAGGGACGCTTAGGAACTGTGTGGGGCAGTGAAGGACAGTGTGGGATGATGAGGGACGGTGTGGGCCGGTGAGGGACAGTGCGGGGCTGTGGGACAGTGAGGGACAGTGTGGGACAGTGAGGGACAGTGTGGGACAGTGTAGGACAGTGTGGGACAGTGAGAGACAGTGTGGGACAGTGTGGGACAGTGCGGGGCTGTGGGACAGTGAGGGACAGTGTAGGACAGTGAGGGACAGTGAGGGACAGTGTAGGACAGTGAGGGACAGTGTGGGACAGTGCGGGACAGTGTGGGACAGTGTGGGACAGTGTGGGACAGCAGGACGGTGAGGGACAGTGTAGGACAGTGAGGGACAGTGTGGGACAGTGAGGGACAGTGCGGGACAGTGTGGGACAGTGTGGGACAGTGCGGGACAGTGTGGGACAGTGTGGGACAGTGTGGGACAGCAG